GCAAACCAGCTGGAAACCATGGTGGGCTTGGGAGGGATTGAACCTGGGCAGGAGCTCAGGCTGCACCAGGTGGGGTCTCACAACGTGAACCTTCGGGGGTCCTTTTAGGGGAATTTGTGGAATTTTTACTGTCAAAACTGGGCGGCAGAAATTAGTCATCATAAAGGAGCAAAAATGACAATGGGAGTGGGTGAATCTGTAACTGCACTGGGTCTCTTTTAGATTCAATTGACACTTCAGTCTTGCAAATATTAAAACCTTCACCAGCCCACTGGTTTCTGGCTCAGAACTGGGATTGGGAGGGATTGAACCTGGGCAGGAGCTCGGGCTGCACCAGGTGGGGTCTCACAAAAGCTGCTGCCCCTGTTGGTTCGCGGTGCAGGGAACCAGATCCTGCCGGGGCTCGGGGAGTCGGAGAGGGTGAAAAGGGTGATCTGACGGGTTCACCCTGCCCTGGGCCGGGGGGCTGCTGGCCGTCCTGTGGAGCGGGCTCTGGCGGGCACTGGGGGTGAAGAGTTTGGAGCGGCCGCCCCCGGTGGCTCTCACCGGGTCCCGGCCCCGCGCAGCCCCATCGCTCATCGCGCCGCATCGGCCGCGGGTTCGGGGAGGGGGGACCGGAGGAATGTTCCCTGTCAGGTGGGACCGGGCTTGGAGACACCGGGGCTGCTGCGCCCTCTCCGGGGCAGTGGGGGGATGGCATGGGCTTGAAGGTCCCTCCCGTCCCAAACTATTCTTGGATTGAATTGGTGCAATCCTGCAACCCGAAACAAGCACACTGCTGCTTTTCTTTCCGGTCCCTGGCACATTTTGCAAGCAGTGACACAAATCATCAGCACTCAGTGCCCCAGGGCTCCAAACTGCTGGGGCAGGAGCCGCTGGGCACAGTCCCCCTCTCTGGACTGTTCTCTGTATTCTCTACAGTCTGATACAGTGCTCCTGTTAAATCTGCACTCAAAGAGGTTTTTTTTCCCCCTAGTGATGCCTCAGGTTCAAGATGGGGCTTGTCCCTGTCAGGAAGGTGCCTCCTCTAAATTTGCAGTGATTCAAGATATGGAGAGTGGAAGCAACTGGAAGAATGGTGAGAATGCAGAGGAGTCCATGAGTCTCTGGGATGGATCAAAAACAAGGAAGACCCTCAGAAAACCCCCAGTTGCTCTGGCGTTGGTGGGGGGGATGTGAGGGCTGGGCCTGCTCAGCACAGCCCCATCCTCACAGCCAGNATAAAGACAAGTGCCAGAAATATTCAAACACAAAAAATATCTTTTATTACACTGAGAATAATAATAATAATCATCTTAGCAAAGAGAATCAAGAACTAGAAAAGGATACAAAATATCTTATTGTGTGGCCTTAAAAACAAATACTACAAACAGCATTTAATACAGTATTAACTAGTGAAAAAAGGGGGTTAAAGGGATCTCAAAAAAGGGATCTTAACACAATATTATGGATAACTATTAACACAATATTGGTTAGTAAAAAGGGAAATTAAAGGGAAATACTGTGAACAACTTATTTATGTAACAATATTCAATAATAAAAGGGGAATTGAAGTGACACTGAAGGGATATTAAAAAGTTTGTTCTCTCAGTTGCTTCCTGTCAATAAACTGTGAAAGAAAAAGACAAGTTTAAAGGCACTTTAACTATTAAATAAGTAAGTCATTGAGAGCTCACAGGTTTGCAGGGGACAGGAGCCTGTTCAGGGCTCGGGAGCTGCTGCCAAAAGGGGGAAAAAGGCACCGAGGGCTCAGAGCAGAGTTTGTGCTTTGGGGGCCCTTTTGCAAAAACACACAGGGTGGAAAGAAGGTTGTAACAGTTCACAGCACCTGTTCTGCTCGAGTTTTCTGTTTGTGGCTCCCCACAAGCTTCTTTTGCTCTGGTTCCCCCCCCTCCTCGTGCCCTCTGTTGCATGAGCACGACCTGGTTCCCTGCACCCCAAGCCAACAGGGGCAGCAGCTTTTGGTCCTCTTGGGTCTTGTGTAAGTTATTACCAGCACCAAATGGACCAACAGAAGCTCATCAGGAACGTGTCCTGGTAAAACAGCAATATTTCATTGCAAAAGTGAGCTCTGAAAGCTGCAAAGGGGCGATTTGTTTGTGGGTAAATGGATGTGAAAAAAAACACAAAGCAGTTCCCTCAGAGGGGATTTGCAGGACGAAACTCAAGGAGTGCTCAGATGCAGCGTTTCCAGAGCAGTGAGATGGTTAAATTGGCAGGAGAAAGGAACAAAAACAGGATAAGCCAGAAGAGAGTGGTGCTTCTGCACCCTCAAAGTTTCCAGAGCTGAACAGGACAAAGCTCAGAAATGAAAGGAAGTCACATCTTGAGATGGCAGAAGTCCAAGTGCAGGAGTTCAGCCCCCTCATTTCAAGGCAAAGTTTCAGTCCTACTTTAATCTCTGCATCACAGTGCCAACAAAACAATTCAACAAATTCCCTTAAAAGGACCCGCGAAGGTTCACCTTGTAAACCCCCCCCCCAGTCCAGCCCGAGCTCCTGCCCAGGTTCAATCCCTCCCAAACCCACCGTGGTTTCCAGTTGGTCCTTTCTGTCATATCATCATTTACCTCTTTTCACCACGACTTTCTCATTTCTCTTCCTGAGAAGCAACTCTGTCAGCAACAAGGGGCTTAAAAAGCCCCAACAAAACCACTGAAGAAGCAGCAAAAATGACAAACCAGCACAACCCTGCAGCAGACACTCAAACCAACCCCACGGCAGCAAAAGCCTCACTAAACTCAGCTGTAAAACTGTGACTTTTGGGGTTTGTTCCCCCCTTCCCCTTCAACGTGCCACGTTTAATTAATCAGGTGGTCATTTCAGTCCCCCAGAGACAAGACCCTGATGTGGGGGCTCAGCCCTGTCCCAGCCGTGGCTCACTGTGGGCAGGGAGCACCCACCACCCTGAGTTTGGCAGCCCAGGGGCTGCTCTGGAGTACTCACCTCGCAGGGCAGCTCTCAGTGACTGTGAGATTTCGCGGTAGGGTCGGTTTAGTCATAAACAAGGAAACAACCTCCCCAACAGACCCA